TTTCGAAGTCTTTGAAAAAGGGGTTTACAATTAACCGCCAGATTTTTATAATAATCCGCAATATAATTTAGGGACCCCAAAAATCTTTGCAACTGATTTTTTTCTTTTATTTCATCAGGATATTTGTCAACAAATTGCAGAACCCTATCAATAAGAGTTATAGTTCCTTGGAAGATGTTGTGTCCCAAAAATCTAATGTTATTATGAAATAATTTAATCTTTCTGGCAAAAACTACCAATCCTACCTGCATAATTATTTTATGAAAAATAAACAAATGTTTCCAATATTGTTCTATTGATTCAGAGCATACAAGTACACCATCAACATAAACAATTGTAAAAGTAGTTTATGGATTCAATATTTCGTTCATAATGTTCTGAGATTCATATGGGGCATTTTTTAGTCCAAATGGCATGACATTCTATTCATAATGCCCAAATGGTACAGTAAAAGCAATTTTATATTTATCCTTTTCAGCTATTTATATATGTCAATTTCATATCAAATTTTGATAATACAGTTGCCTTAAACAATCTATTCAGTAAATCCCTCTTATTAGAGATTGGACAACGAATCCACCTCAAGGCTTTATTTAATGGTTTATAATTAATTACTAATCTAGGAACTTCTCTTTCTATTTCAGCTGCTTTTTCTACATAGAAGGCTGGATAACTCCATGAGGAGTATGATTTTCTAATAAGTTTCTTACTTAATAAATCTTGTATCTCTTTCTTACAAATTTCTAATAATCTACTATTCATCTGAATAGGTCTGAACTTTGTTGGAATTAGTCTTTCATTAAATTTTGGTTCATAAAGTAATTCTACCATGTGTTGTTTCCTGTTTCATAAGGCATTAGGGATTTTAGCACAAACTTCTTTTTCTAACTTTTCTTGAAATATTTTTATTTCTTTTTTAATCTATTGGGATTATAATCTTTTTTCAATTGTTTTATAGTTTATTTCTTCTTTTAAAGAGAATAGAAATTTCTCTTTTTTTTTTAATTGATTTTGAATCTGATTGATTCCTTTTAATTTTGGTTTATCAAAAAATTCAAATTTTACTTTATGACCATCAATTTCAGATTCTATGTCTGTGTGATCCAATAATTTTATTGGATATAGGAGGTTCAAAAAGGGTATTCCAAGGATAACAGCTTGTGATAAACCTTTTACCATTATGAGTGGTAATATAAAACAAGTTCCATTATTGCAAACAGCTGCATCAGAGGGTTTATAATTAATCATCTTTCTCTTACCATCAGCGGTATTCAAAAATTTTATAGTTTTGTCAAAATATATAGAAGGAACAAGGCTGTCATTAATATAATTTAAATCAGCACCTGAGTCTATTAGGGCAATAGTCTGAAAGTTGAATTCCTTATTAACCATTATTGTAACATAAGTGTGCCATTTTTGGGATATAACCTTGTCAACCACATTGACAGAAGTTAAAGTCCCTAGATTTTTATTTGTAATCTGATTATTTTCAATTGAGGGAATGTTTAAATCTTCAAATTCATCCACAAGTAAGACATTAGGCTCTTTTTCTTCTATAAAAGGAGCCTCTAATTATTCAATTCTAGTTTTAAGCTGTTTTATTTCATATTTCAATTCTTCCATGGTAGTATCTCTTGATATTCCTCTAGACTTTTCCATTTGTTTCATCATACTAATGATATTTTTAAAATCATAGGTGGGTTTTATATAAGAATCCTTTTGTTCTAGTTTTTCATCATTGGACTTTAACTTATACCTATACATGAGTAAAGCTTCTTTTTTAGCCGCAGGATCCTCTATTTTGTCAATAATATCCATAATCATATTTTCTTCTTGGATTAAAGTGTTTATTTCTAACCCATTCATAAAACAAATTGATTTATAATAATCACAATGGCATTCAGTGTTATTATCTAATTCTTCTTTACTAGAGGAGTTAGAGCCATATATAATATTTACAGATTCTTCAAAAAATGAGTCTGACTCTTCATCAGAAGTTAAAAGGACTTGACAAAGTTGTTTTTGAAGCCTTCATCAATGTTTAGGTTGTTTATTTTCTTTTTAGTTATGCATTTATTAGCCAAATGGCCAAATTTGCTGCACTTTCTACAAATAATAGGTTTTCTTTTAAATCTAGGGGATCTATCTCTTTTTTCTTCTGTGACAAGCTTTTTCTTTTTTAGAAAATTTCTTTTAAACCTTTTAGATTTTTTCTTGTATGTTTTAAAAGATCTTTTATCAATTTGGGGTTTCCCAGGTTTTGATTTTATGGACTCAAAACCAAATTGTTCACAAAAATCTCTTAGCTCTTTTCTCCTTGTTAGATTTTGTTTTTCTAATTGTTTTCTAAGCTTAAAGTCAGTACAGATTTCTAAACCTGTAGCACAAACTTCAACAGATAATTCTCCAAGAGTATAGAGGTCATAATTTAATTTTCCATTATTTTTAGCTTACAACTTATTTTTTACCTTTTCAGCAAATAATCTTGGAAGGCCAGCAATAAATTGACCATTCCAATACCCAGCTCTACAGTCTTCAACTGTAAGAAGCCTAGAAGTAAATGTATCATTATACCATTTATAATGGGAAAAGGTAGGACATCTAAGATTTTGTAAAAGGTCTGACTGTCTTTGAGTCAGAATGCTGGTATTTCCTATAAAATGTAGAGCAATGGTATAAATAAGAGTATTAATACATTCATCTTCAGTAACTTTCAGTTTGTATTTGATCTGGCTGTATTGCTCTAGTTGTAGTATACTACTTTTTAGCAGTCAGAAGGTAATTTTTTTCTGTCTCAGTGAGATAGTTATCACACCAACCTCTTAATTGTCATGAAAAACCTACTATGATTGCTTTAGCTACATCTGGATCTTGATTTCCATTATCTATGCTAGCAGTAGCATAGTAGGCTAAGTATTTGATATTCACTTAGGGTATCAAGATTCCATTTTACTAGTGCCTTTCCATCATACATTGCTGATCCCATTAAAATACCTTCTTCATGTTGAATGTCAACAGGAGACGACCTCGAGTAATACATTTTTGTAGGGGCCGTTGGTCTGGTTTTAATTCTGTAACCAATTTTATTGATTTCAGCAGGCTTATCCATAGTTTGTTAAAAAACTTGTTCTAAACTTTCAATGTCTTGTTCAAAGCAGTTATCAGTAATATCTTCAA